TCGGACATCAGGGGGGCACGCGCCCCTGACAGACTGCAGGGAGGGTCCTCGTGCCTCCCGCCGCCGGGCTGGCAGGGATGCGTGGCCTTCTGTCAGCTCTAGGGAACCTGTCACCATCCCACACTTTCTGGGGAAGAAATAATGAATGAAAGGTAGTGTTGTTATTGCCGTGTCAAGACTTGACAAGTTGAAATCACGTGTTGCTACAAATGGCAAAACATGGAGAAAACGGAGATGCTCATGTGTAGGCTACTCGTGTGCCTATGAACAGTCCAATATGTTGTCCTTATATTTGTGTTTATTATTCTGGTGCACTACTAACTGTATATTTATTGCAAATATCTACATTTATTGATTCTGAAGGATATCAGTAAACGAATCACAGAATCACAGAATGGTCGGGGTTGGAAGGGACCTCTGTGGGTCATCTAGTCCAACCCCCTGCCCAAGCAGGGTCACCCAGAGCAGGCTGCACAGGACCTTGTCCAGGCGGGTCTTGAATATCTCCAGAGAAGGAGACTCCACAGCCTCCCTGGGCAGCCTGGGCCAGGGCTCCGTCACCCTCAGAGGGAAGAAGTTCTTCCTCGGGTTCAGCTGGAGCTTCCTCTGCTTCAGTTTGTGCCTGTTGCCCCTTGTCCTGTCGCTGGGCACCACTGGAAAGAGTCTGGCCCCGTCCTCCTGACACCCACCCTGCAGATATTTATAAACATTTATTAGGTCCCCTCACAGCCTTCTCTTCTCCAGGCTGAACAAGCCCCAAATGTTTAATTTGTATTTTTTTTCCTCATTTAAATTAGCGTGAGCTCCTCATCTGCTGTTAAAGTGTAAGAGATCAGAAATGATGCTTGAATAAACGCTGTAGTAATTTATGTAACGCCCTGGCAGTTTCAGAGATTTGGCATCGTCCAGTGTTCCATTAGACGGGTTTTCAAAAGCTGGCTTCTGTATTTCACACCTGCAAGCTACAGCAATATTTAGGAGGAAGTGCTGTGTGCCTGCAATGAATTCTGAATGCAGAGGTGAAGTCTGGCCCCATGCATCAAAGAGCTTGGAGGCCGTTTCTCCGGTTATTTGCTCAGCTGACTGTATCTGATCCGAGCTGATGTCCTCAGCAGTACGGTGAGGTTGACATACTTACAGGAACCCGAGTGCATTACTAATTGCGGTCACATTTCAGCATGAAGAAGTCTGAGGCTTTTCCCTGCTTTTTTCAGTGCTTTTCACCATTGAAAAAAACCCCAGAATGAGCGTTGGTTGATTCCCTGTTCTCCATCTGGAATTGTGACATTTATATTTAAGTTCTGTGTGAACAAGGCTCCAATTTATGTTTCAAAGGTACCCACCTAGCTGTATTTAGGCCTTTTTCTTTTTGCAGCTTGCAGCTTCCTGGGGCCAACTGCATCCCAAATGGTTGTCAGTCTCAGTTCTTCTGCTCATGTTGCAGTTTCTTTGTCCCTTTTTTTTTTCCTTTCATGCAGTTTTCTGCAGTTTTTCTCATCTCTTTTTCCTTCTCGTGGACTTTCCTTTCCCTTGGATTCTGTCCATAGCAGATACACATTGCTTTAATTTTGTGCCTATTTTCTCTATAGCCTGATGAAATTAAAACAGCAAAAAAAATCACTTAATAAATGCAGAGGGCTTACAAGAACAAATGTTTAGTAATAGGACTGATTCATGCCCAGAGTACAATATGAATAAGCTGTGGGACTGCTTGCATGATTAAGACATTCAAAATTAAGTGCCTGGCTCTGTATATTTTGTTGAAATATGTATTACACTGCTTCAGCTGGTAGCTCAAAGACCAAAAGTAGTCCCTCTGGAAAATATTTGGAGATATCTGCATTTTTCACACCCTGTGGATCTGTTACTAATAATGACAGTGCCAGTTTCACAGCACTGTGAGAGGAAGAAGGCAAGAGGAAAAGGAGCATCGAGTAACAGCAGACACCATGGTTTACTGTGGTCAGCATCCTACTACAGGCCGAGGAGTGGCTGGTGAAAAACCACACTGAGCAAGCGGCGTAGGAATAGGAGTCCATAGCCGTAAAGGTAACAGTAAAAGCAGAGGTTTTATGAGGAGCTGGCTCTAGATGTCACTGTAACATCGTAAAATGGAGATTAGAGAGCCTACAAAGCTGGCATTATGGTTTAAATGCTCGGATTCCTGGTAACTGTTTCGGTCAGCCTGTAATAAATTACTGGATCATTAAAAATCCTGTTACCAGACGTTGATTAACAGCAAAAACCTTTTTGAAATCTTTCAGTAAGACTGTTACTGAACATTTTACTAGAATATTAAATATTCCTAGCTTTGGTTTACACTAACCTGTCCTTTAATAGCAACAGCTAGTGCAGGGCAACAGCTCATTTCTGGATGTTTTTTTTCTTTCAGTCCCTGAGGCTTGATCTTGATCTTTTCTGGGCTGTGTTTATTCCAACACAGATGTTGATTACAACTGACAGAATTTCTCTTGCTTTACACTGGTACCAATCTCATCAGCTTGGTAGTGGTTAAAATAAGCGCGATCATTTATAGGAAAAATGTGAGTTATGACCAAAAAAATCAGACTGCGATTTCGTGAGGAACAATACAACGTGAACACTGTGTACACTGACTAATACATCAACTGCCTTCTCCACAGGTCATCAAAGAAAAGTCGCATTTGAATGAGATGGGAACAAAAGTGAAGAAGCCACCAGATTCAACAGGTTAGAATATTTTTTTTTCTGGTCGGCTTCTAGTTCCTAAGGGTACAACTGCATGGAAGTAGCCATTACTCTCCTGAGCAGCTCCACTGAAGTTGGTTGGGTTAAATGTGTGCTCCTCAGCATGCGTGAGAATTGCCCGGGCAACATCAACCTACTTTTCACGTGCCTGTGCATATGGTGGCAAACTGCTCAAAGTGAAGAGTTTATTAACCTTGACTTGACTTACCATAAATTTGAGTGAGAAAAATGGTTTCCAGTGCTGTGTCTGAAACGAGGAGTTTGTGCACCCTGATATCCTGGTTTTAAAGAAGTAGTCTGTTCTTGCTTAGGAGAGATCTACACTGACCTCGGATGTGGGAGAGGAAAGCAAATGCCTAGTTCAAAATGCAACAGAAGTTGTGCTAAGTGTGCGACCCTGCTTTAATATTGCTGCTGACTATCAGAGAATTACTGACAGGTCCTTTGCTAATCTGTTTACTTACAGAGGGGGCCATCCAGAAGAGCCAGTTCTGCTCTCAGGAAGAGGTTGAAAAGCTCAACAAGGAAAATGCTGAGAGGGAAAGTTCTGTTCTGCTTCAGACGGATCCTCCCAAATTTCATACTGAAGGGCCAGAGGAGAAAGGAGGAAATTTGGCTTCTGAAAGCTATTACAAATACAGGAGAAGCTCTGTTCAGAAATCCTTCCCTACAGAAAAGCAGCAAGAAGGTGCTGTTGATGATACTTGTCAAAGGATAACTGGGCAGGAGATAGAGAGTGAGTGCCCAGCAGATGAGGAGAGGAAGGAGGAACATCAGGTGTCTGGAGGTGCAAGACAAGAGAAGAAGAAGAATGAAAGGGAGGGAAATGCTGATAAGAGTGAGAAAGAAGTTGAGGAACCACCAGCTCCTTCCCAAAAGAAAGATGAGGCAGGCCAAAGCCGTGATCAAGAGGCACCAGAGGGAAGGTAAGGTCTGAAGCTCAGGCTGCACATGCTTAAGAGACTCATGCCTTAGAAGAATGTGTAGTTCAAGTGGCTGGTATAAATATTGGTCAACATCCAGCTCAATAAAAAAGTGTAAAATGAGTTTATCTCTTTGATCTGAGCTCTAAGCTGAAATGATACCCTTAAAAATGGCAGGCAAACAATCTACCATAGCCAGTACTAGCAGTGTGCTTTGGTTGTTGGGTAGGGAAATAGGTTAGGAACATGGGAATTGTGTTAGGCTATTCTTCAGCTCTGAGGAGAATTCTCCCATTCTTAGGCTTATATACTGCAGCATCATATAACCCACAAGCAAAGTAAAGTTAGATTAGGCCATGTACTAATTGGGAATTAAGTTACTGCAAAATGTAGTAACTGAAGTGATAACATAAAACTGTGAAGCTTTGCCCAGGCAATTAAACTGATAAATATATTTATTGTAATTCTTTCTTTGCTGCATTGATATATAGCCCTTTGAGGATAAGCCAGTTTAAGCTCTCGGGAACCTATATGAACGTAGTGAAATCCCAATTCTCTTGAATTGCTTTAAAGGTGAGATTGACAGCCAAATGTTAAATTCAAAACTCAGGCGAGGATTTCAGTAATGGAGAAACATTTTGCTGTCATGATTAACTTAGGGGTCATTTTTATTTCTCAGAGTGAATATTAAAACAGTTTATTTTACACCGTGAAGCAAAATACCCTAATGTTATTTGAATGCAATATGTGTGTAGGCATTTTTCACCTATGTTTCTAAATTTGCTCTGCTTTAAGTGTGTCCTGCTCTAATACCATGTTTTGTCCTTGCAGGTGTAAAGGCTGCGAAAAAGGTACAGGAAATTATAGTTCAGCCACTGAACAGACCTTGCAGTTTGGGCGTAGTGGTAGCAGTAAGCTTCGAGTGAATGATGAAGGCCAAATCAAAGATGACAACAAGAAGAGCGGGCTAGATGCAGAAAGTGCTGATGGCATACGTAAAACTAAAAAAAGCTCTCACAGGAAGTATTCCTAAAGGCAAAACATTCAATTCCACTGGTGTTACAGTGGCAATCAGAGACATCTGTAGAAAAGAATGATTTCACAATTGTGATTAGTAGGGGGAAAAGGTGTGCATGGCAGCTCTGATGGGAAGCAGTTGTTCATAGGCCACATACTAAGTTGATGGGAAATAACGTGGTTCTGTTTACTTCCATCTTAGAGGCTTCTGTTCTGGCAGAAATTAGTTGCAATTAATTTGCTTCTGCCACAGCTACTCCATTAATACTATCAAATTCCTAAGTATAGAGTGGTGTGAGAAATTATGTCATGTGTGGCAAAACTGGTTGACCTGCAGAAGTGCTGAGAACATGTGTTAACACAGAATCTGAGATGCTCTGGATGTAGCCTGGAAAATCAGCCTGCTCATATTAGTACCGTTGCAACCTGAAGCGAGAACAACTGCAGCCTATAAAATAAAGAAATACAGATTCTTTTTTTGTGAAAGCCTGACTGATGCTGTTGGACAGTCAGATCAACGGTGCTCAGGCACCGAACTCTGAAGCAGTGCCTACTGGGGTGAGGCAGAGATTTCTAATATTGGATTTCCAGCTTGAGAATTTCAGTGCCTACCCCTGGGTATGAAATGATGGCACATGAGAGGATGGCCTGAAGGATTTGAAGATATGTGTGTGCGTGTGTGCATGCATAGGACTCAGAACTGAGTTTCTTTGCTTTGGGAATGGAGGGAGAGTGGGAAAGGGAAACATTTATTAAGTGTTTGTGCTAGGCTCTTGTAGCAGGAAACAGGAGACAGTGCACTGAAACTTCAAACTCCGTAATCTGTCCTGAGCTCTGGCAGATTGTTAGGGATGACACTGAGGTTAGAGGGTCTCTCTTGGAGCAGCTTTGATCTGTAGTGGGAGGTCGTTCTTGAATAGGGAGAAATCCCCTCTGGTGTGCAGGAAAAGAAAACGAGAGGGTCTGTCACTGGGAAAATCTTGAAGGCTAAAACTTAGGCATAGTTTTAATGAGGCACTCTGGCCTCTTTAAAAGAAGGCTTCCTTGCCCAAAGTTTGGTAACACTTGGGAGCTGAGCTTTCAGAAAGACATTTTCTTCTGTCACTTACATGCTGGGGCCCTTGGAGTTTGTGTTTTTACAGTCAAATTCTGCCTTTAAGGTAGAGGTTTTCTTGGCATTTTGTGGGTCTTGGTAACACGGAAAGGCCCATACTTAAGGACGTGTAATTCAAACTCTGCAGAATCCCAAGTAGGTGGCAAACTTCCAGAAGCCCCAGCTTTTCACAATTCCTTGACCATGAACTAACTTCCTGACCACGTAAGTTATTAGCACTGTCAAAAAAAAAATCTAGGTACGCAGCTGGTGTCCTGGAAAAATGGACATTCACTGTGAATAAGGACAATCTACTGCTACATTAATGACCAAAGTGTTCTTGCCAGCTACATGCTGTCATGGGTATTTTTTGTTTGTGTTTTTAATCATTTTCACTTGAGTAATGAACAATTTAAAAATTGCTCAGCAAACCCCACACAAAAGGGAGCCGGCATTCCACACCAGAAAGCTCATGTTGAAACGCTGGGGCTCTAGCCCTCCCAACCAGTTGAAGAAGTATTTGTCACCTTGGTCAGCCAAAGGTCACTCTCGGGAATATCAATCAAATGAAAAACAACGTGGGTATGAAATTGAAGTCGCAACACCCTGCAAAAAATCCAAAGAGAAATGAGGCATGCAGGGCTGGTCTCCAGCGGGGATTTTGACATCAGGATGGCAGAATGGTCCAGCATGTGGAGGTCCAGACAATAATACCAGAGACCAGCATTTGTGCCGAAACTCCATAGCTGCTGTAGTGTGGTGTTGGGAACCCATCTCTTCTCTGTGCCACTCTTTACCTTTTATCTGCCGTCTTTTTTTAAGGACAGAAATTCTTCAGAGCAGCACGTGACAGTTACCATGTGTCCTACCACACCGGGTCCTGAGCCATACTGGAAATCCCAGGTGCTGCCTGCCAGGGTGAAACGCCCTCATGTGCACAAACTCTAAATGTCATCTTTAAAGGTGATAACCACACTGTGGAGAATGACAACCTGTGTCAATCGGTAGAGAAGGGAATTCTTCACTATGAACAGCAAAAGCTGGGAAATGGCCTCTTATAGCTGGGCCTAGAGGAGAGCTCAGTCTCTCTTCCTACCCCACTGGTGCGTTGCAGTACATACTCAACAGTCCCTGAGGAAAAAAGAGGCAGGGGAAAAAACCGCCAACTCAGAAAAAAAGCTGAATTCCTTCCAAACAGATTGCTGAGGCCTGTTGTGGGCATGAAGCTACATTGGTTTAGTCTAGTGGTCTTCACTTTGAGTCTTGGTGCTGTTGTGCAGAAGACAGTAACTTAGTAAAGGAGTCCTTGTCTTGGTAATGTAGCTCCCCAGCAACACCCCGTTTTCTGAGCCGGAGCTCCTGGAATAAAACTCTCCTTAAATAACAGACAAAGACCTATCTATGAAACTTACAGTAGGTGTATTCAGTTCTTAAATGAGCTTATCTGGGGAAAAAAGGGACTAAAATTTGAGGTATACAAGTACTGCATTTCCTTATATGCTATCTGTCTGTTTTGTCTTTTGTAGATGATAGTCTTACTCCACCAGCACCGTTTGATCACCGGATTGTCTCAGCCAAAAGGGTGGGGATCAGCAGTTATTACAACGTCAGTGAGAACGAAATCCTGGGAGGGTAAGTCAGGTGAACACAATCAACATGGAAAGCAAGGCACAAATTTACAGCCAGGCACCCCGGGAGGTGAATGGAAGCAACATGCCTCACTAAAGCCGAAGTCATGAAAGTCTAAGCTCTAACAGTGCTTTAGAGAGGGATGAAAACAGGAGGCTGACTTTACTGTGTGAGTGAATTTTGGCTTAAGGTTTGGCACCAGCAGACTTGGCTTGTATTTGGTATTGTTCTAGGTCAGCCAGCTGCCCTCAGGCTTTATGACGGGGCTCCGAGGATGCTGTAATACTTTACCTCACATTGCGACCAGCAGGACGTAGAGACATGTTGTAGCCTTCTTGCTCTCAGTGGGTCCCATCCATGAAAACACATGCATGTTTTCAGACTAATCTGACAGACCGTGTAGTTACTTGATAATTTCTGTAGTTTATAACCTAGTTTACATTCAGGGCCGACACCAGTACCACTGAATGATATCTTTTGTTTTTTTCCTCCTTTTGTTTCCTAGAGGGCGATTTGGCCAAGTGCACAAATGTGAAGAGAAAGCAACAGGTCTCAAACTAGCAGCCAAAATTATAAAAGCGAAAGGTCCTAAACAGAAGGTTGGTAGAGTGTGATACTCGTCTTTTGATCCCCAATGGATCCTATGCTGTTCTTCAGCTACGCAACAGACCATGGCCAAGTGGCTCAAAAGCCGTCACGCTTATAGGATCTGTTGGATTACCATTGGCTCTGGTTCTATTTCCCTTCTCCTCCAGAATTTCTAGTAACTCATCAATGTCCTCTTTTTGAGTTTCTTTTTTTTTTTTTAATCTTAAATTTTCCAACTTTCTTTTTAACTCTTTGTGTTCCTTTGGCTTTCCTTTTTTTTTCATCGCCAGAGAATGATTCAGCCCATCCTAAACTGCACATCTAAAATAGCTGGGCTGAATGGAGGTACCAGTCTCTCTCCCCTGACTGCAAAGGGAGGTTTTGAGGACTGACCTGGACTTTTCTTACACAGCTTGAGTTTGTATACCTGTAGGTGGCTGAACCAAGTTCTGTTCTGCTTCTCTCTTTCCTTTACATCCCTGTGGACCCACCACTTGTCCATGTGGACTCTCCCACTCCTTTTCCCCCCAAGTAGCTTATTAATGAAGCAGTCCCCTAATTCAGCTCTGACTTCAGTCTAGTAGCTCATATAGCCTTGACATCCACCACTGCAGGAGCAATCAAAGGAAAACCCTGAGTTTGGTTTGCCACGAGTGAAAACATGAAGATAATGTAGATGTCTGTTCATAACTATGTCCTGTTTCATGTAGCTTTCTTAGAGAAAAGGCTTCTGAAACAATACTCATGACTCTTTACAGGATGAAGTAAAGAATGAAATCAATGTCATGAACCAGCTGAATCACGTAAACCTCATCCAGCTGTATGATGCCTTTGAATCAAAAAATGACATTGTCCTAGTCATGGAATAGTAAGTGTGTTCTTTTCTTTCCTTTTCTGTCTGTACCACTTTTGCTAGAATTGTCCATTTCCTTCTTACTTTCTCTTGAAATTAGAAATTGAGCTTCTTACAGGTGGAAAGAACATATGAAAGATGTTCTCAGGAAAAAATAAAAATGGAAGTTAAGAGGAAAGTTTTCCCATGCAGCCATTTATGCATTTTTTCCAGGGATGTGCCACATTTCTAGTGCTGTAAAGCCACTGCTCCATTTGAAGATGAAGCTGTGTTATCTGTCTTCTCTTTAATTTCAAATTTTAATTTGTGTCAGCTAAGAAACAGACCTCTCAGAGTATCTCCAGTTCTGTGAGGCAAATGAGAAGACAGCTTACGCTGAAGAGGAGCCAGCTTAATCCTTATACTGGCTGCCTGAATGGATAAACCTGGTTTATATGCTGGGTTATCAGGCTAAACAGGCACAAAATAGTTGCCTTAAAGTCAGGTTAAGCAGGTGTTGTCTTAAGGAAGCCAAAATGGGCATAACTAAAGCATTGAAAGGCATGGTAGAAGGTTTAATGTTATGCGAGTTTGGCTATTCTGGACATTCTCAGATAATACTCTGAAATTGGTCTACGTGATTAGAGTATCACAAAAGGTAAAATGTCTGTGTAGGTGTGAATGGGTAAGATGGAGGCATTCTGAAATGTGATGAGAAATTAAGAAGTAATTTTTGTTGACTTTAGATAGTTTCAAATTGAAGTTTTGGATCATGTCCTTCTTAAACTCTGAGGGAGGAGACTGCGCAGTTAAATGCAAATTCTCCAGCATGTTGTCTTGGTTTTCCATGTGACTTCATTAATTTCCCTGGTACAAAATGATGACTCAAGGCAGCAGAAGGTTCAGATTTCAAGACTAATACTTATCAATGGGTGGGAGACTGGACTCTCAGACTGTGAAGAAGTTCAGGCCAGTATGCATGAGAACCCAGTTCTTGCAAAGTTCAGATCAGAGTACAAGCTCATATTGTAGACTTGCCTTACTGAACTTGACTGTGAGTGATTCAGATTGTCAATAATATAAATTCTGTATTACTCTAATAACATGGGATTGGTTTTGAACCTGGTTGCCACTTTATTGTCTTTCTCTCATCAGCGTGGAAGGGGGAGAGTTATTTGACCGAATTATTGATGAAAACTGCAATTTGACAGAGATGGATACTATCTTGTTCATAAAGCAGATCTGCGAGGGAATTCAGTACATGCACCAAATGTACATTCTTCATTTGGATCTCAAGGTAGAGAATTGAGATGTATGTTTTGTGCAATGACAGTTGTGGAAATTCTTATTCTGAATTGTACGCCATACAGCTTAGCAGATTCCCATGCCAGAAACAATAAAGAGCCTTATTCCTCTTTCCTTAGATCAATGTGTATTTACTTTAACTGCATTGAGATCAGTTAAATTACTACAGGAGTAAGTAAATTAGATGAGAATTGTGGGCATATGTCATCAAGCCTCGTAGCACTTAAATTTTCTACAGACTGCTTTAAAGAAAGCCAGCAGCTGACTACAAATATCTTGCTGTTTTCAATTTTGATATTTGGATCTCAAGATATTATGCAAATAGTATTTAATTCAACTGCACAAGATCTCTTTTTTACACGTCAGCCACGGGGTAGCGATTATCCCCATTTTTTACCGTGCAGAAACCAAGGCATGAGCGAGTGGAACTAAATTCAAGGGTCATTGAGGGTCAGTGGAAACCCTGTGCATCTTTCTGAGGACTACACTACACTGTCCTGATCATGAAAAAGCCTCAATAAATAGCTAGATTCAGGGAAAATACATTAAAATGTACTTGTTAAAATTTAAGAAATAAAACTAGTCAATGGCTGGTGTAACAAATACAGTATGTCTGTATTGGGTTAGGCAATAGCTGCTAGTGCAGCTGAAAGCCCGGAGAAGGGTGGCAGATTGTCTGCCACGTGCTTTCTTAGTTATCTGAACTATTCAACTATATACGCACAAAGTCCCCTCACTTCTCTTTAAAAACAAATCCACCAATTGCACAGGCTTACTCTGGTTGACTGCCAATGGTTAACTGTCCCCCATTACAAAACATTTGTTGTCAAGGTATTTTTCATTAGACTGCACATTTGAGCTGGCTCTTTCTCCCCTAACCCAAGTTTTTATCAAATAAGAGACTTGTTTCTTACCTCTGTTTAGTGCAGGAATAAAACGGGATGATGTCTTTAGTTTTATGACTGGCTATAAAGCTTCCTAGTGATCCCCGAGCTTTGCAACCAAGCAAAAAGAAACAAAAAGTGCACAAAATGGGTTTCTCTTTGGTGAGAGTTTTATTACAGCTGCTGTTTTTGGCTTGTAATAACTGGGTTAACATAGTACGTATTTAATGTTAACATAGGTATTATTGCATTGGTTAAGCAAATGAGCAGATGCTCGTTGGGACCTGCTTCAGTTGCTAATCAGTGACCAGACTCACTTTTCTCTTTCTTTATAAACACCCAGTTACCTAGAAACCTGTCAAGCAGAAGTTTGCACAGTTCTTTGGGACGCATTAATTATGATCTTGGAGATGGCACAGTTGTAATATGAGGTCAAACTGCTGACAAAAAGATACATAAACAATCCAAGAAATTCTCCCCAGAGACCTCTTTTCATGTGCTTTCCAGTGATGGCTTCTCCCTTCTGTTTTACTTGTTCATAGATCTCTGTCAGGAACAAATGACTTTGGGGAAGAAAGCTTTAAATTGAAAGAAAATCATCCTGACTATAATCATCCAGGACCTCAGAAACTATGGACATGTGGTGTTTAAAAGTCCTATGGCGTTTAAAAGTCCTACATGTAAAATGAATTAGTAATGGTGACAAAGGTTAACTAATGTTTTAAGTGTTGAGGGCTGTTTTGTTTCAAAAACGACTCAATGAGCAACGAGACGGAGTAGCTATAAAACTGCTGGCAGCGAAGGAGACTCTATTTTAGGTATTTACATTTCAAAGACAATCGGCCAGATTCTGTTCTCAGTCCCTTCTGTATGAATTTGGATTAATTCTAGGAAGTTAATGGATTTCTGCCAGGGAAGTGAAGAACAGCGTTTGGCCCTATGAAAATCCAGAGGGATTTAACCTGTGAATCCTACCTTTTGCTAAAATACGTGAGAAAAGCATAAAGTTGATGTGACTAGCTTTATATATTAGTGTTCAATCAGTTACTGCTAGAACATTCGTGAACTCAGAAACTTAAAGCTGTAAGATAAACTTCAAAGCCCATCAAATTAGTGTTGTTTTGTTTTTTTTTTCTAAAAAAAGAGTGTCAGCTTATTAAGGTCTGTAAAATCACAGTGCCAGCATTCTGAAACCCCTCTTTGGAAGTCTGCATTCTCTGTCCCACTCCTCCTAATGAGTTCTTTATCTGAACTTCTGCCTTATGTCAAATTGAAAAGCCAAGGAGAAGAAAAAGCAGTTGCAAGGCACAGAACACACGGCCTCAACCGCTGTGTGATAGCGGGGGGTGGGGGGTGGGGGGGTGCCCATGCAGAGAAGTCTGACCAAGGAGGAAACTGAAAGGTGCTTATGAGATGTTTGCTGTGTTTTTAGTGTTTTTCTCCCTACAGTTTGCTAAAAGCCCAGTTTTTCATACTTGTTTCTTATTAAAGTGTTTTTTGGTTTCTCTTGGCAGCCTGAGAATATCCTGTGTGTGAACCGAGCAGCAAATCAAATAAAAATTATTGATTTTGGATTGGCAAGAAGGTACGTGCATGTGTTCTTGCTAATCGTAAATGAATAACAAAACTAACAAAAAAAGTATTACATCTCTGCAGTGACACATTTGATACATAACGGTGTCCTACCGTTCTTAGGACAAATTTAATGCGGCTCTTTTAACCAGGGATATCTTTTAATAAGGAGTGTTTGGAGCTGAGTGAAGGAGGTTTGTTCTGAAGCCTTTTTTCAGGCAGAAGGTTGAAAGAGGGCTGATTCTGACTAAGCATGCACAGAAGTATCTTGGAACAGCTGAAATGGACAAAAATAGTGGTACATCCTGTCTGCCCTCTTGTCTCCAATGTTACGAGATTCTTCAAAAGCGAGTGTAAAAGACCATCAAGGGTTCTTACAATATATTCCATGCTATATCACTTTCTAGTTTAATTAGGTACCATAACCTCAGTGAAGGATTTACTGGTTAAAAATTCCATGCCTATGATATGGAGAAGTCCCAAAAGGATGAGAACAGCTGCTCTGAGGAGTCCTTGAAATCTGAATTTCTTCCTTTGTATAGCAGTTGGGTTTTGCCCTAAAGTATGATACAAAGCTTGCAAAGATTTTTCATTCTATATGTGGGTATATTTATTTTTGTTTTGTACCTCTGTCTGTCCTTGTTTTCCTACCAAATTTCCTGTATGCTTCTGAATTCCCTCTAAGTGCTAGACAGCTTTAGTTAGAGCTGCAATTCATATCCTCTGTTGATGTTTCCATTCCCTAGGTATAAACCCAGGGAGAAACTTCGAATTAACTTTGGTACTCCAGAATTTCTTGCTCCTGAAGTTGTGAATTATGAGTTTGTCTCCTTTCCTACAGACATGTGGAGTGTAGGAGTCATTGCTTATATGCTGTAAGTAGGATTCAGTATCTGCTTTGTAAGCTGTTTCTAGGCTGAACTAGAAAGTCAGTCATCCAAATTTGTTGTTATACTGGACTATTGACAAAATCTTTACCCAAAATAGAAAATGTAGGCTTCTTTCCAAATTCCGTATTCAGTAATCTCTCCTCTTTTCCAGTCACCATGAACTTTTCTCCTTTGTTTCATTGCACATCTCTCATGAGGATCTGAGCATCACACTTCCAGAATAATGTAGACTGCTTGGTAGGTTCCCAGTAGGTGTGTGCAGGAGTGGTCAGAGGTCTAGAAAATATGAGCTACCATGAAAGACAGTAACACTTAGTTTGTCAGGGAAGAAGGGTGGTTATTTAAGTCGAAGAGAGCATAGGAACAGTCTGGAGACTTTCTTAGACAATAACATGTTGCAAGACAGGCCAGGAGTGACAGAACAATCATAGATGGCACATCAGAGGTCATGTATAGGAAGGGCAAAAGACAAGAGAACTGAACATATTTCTTTTTACTTTAGCCTCAGTGGATTGTCTCCTTTTTTGGGTGATGATGACAATGAGACCCTCAACAATATCCTGTCCTGTAGCTGGGATTTTGAAGATGAGGAATTTCGAGGTGTTTCTGATCAGGCTAAAGATTTCATCTCAAAGCTTCTCATCAAGGAAAAATGGTATATAATCTCTATATCTTTGAAATGTGTGTTCCATGCCATCATGTCACAGCTGCGTCACGTGTGCTGCTCCATTGCAGAACTATCAGGACTTATCAAAGTTTTTTATGTCCACATAGAATATTATAACGTCACTTCATTGATGTTGTTCATTGCATCCATAAAATACTCCGAAGTTACCTGAATGCATTTTTGCTGTGAAGCAAAACTAACTTACTTCACGGGTTAGCTGTCATCTGGCATAGTGTCCTGAAATGACAGCATTGCATGATGGCAGAACACGTGACCTGTAGCAGATAGTTGTTCAGCTGTAAGATTCTGGGAAAATGACTTAAAAGCATTCTGGTTTTCCTTTAGCTGGAGAATAAGTGCAACTGCTGCCTTAAAACACCCATGGTTATCAGACCACAAGCTCCACTGCAGACTCCAGGTCCCTAAATTTAAATATCCATGTGCATTGTAGATCTACTGCTGCCTTCTTGTGTTGCCACATTACTATATGCTTTGACATTTTTCTGAAATGTATTTGAGTCTTCCCTGCTGCTGCATTGCTTGCCGCTGTGAGCCATGTGTGTCCCCTTGCATTTTTTTCAGCTACTGTAATTTGCATGCTCACACTTGCTCATCAGTTCTTGCACATCTGGGAAGAAATATAAGATCATGCAATTCCTGTGTGTTGCTGAGTGGATCCATTTCTTAGCAAAATGAGACTATTTACAAAATGGGCCCTGAATTACCATATGAGAAGAGTTTTCCAGCTGGGGATGATTTTGCTTCCTGCTTTGAAAACCCTTTCAGGCTTTCCTGAAGTCCCCCATGAGTACTCTTAGATTTCATCCCAGCTCTTCCCAAGGGATACCTTTTCCCAACAGAGCTTGGAACCTCACTCAGTGCCTATCTTTGTACTGAAGCACCTTTGTGCTTTTTGAGGTGGTCAGCACAAAAGAAGCAGTTGTTTGTTCAGACAAACAATTCAGCTGGGCTGAGCTGGAGGATCAACAAGATTTTAAATAATTTTGATTATTCCTCTGTTAAGTAGTCAGTGAGTTTTGGGGATTCACACTGTTGGTGAGCTTGCTATTGGCTGATTCTGAGTGAGTCCACTCTGTGGTTCAGTGGTTCATGAGGGGAGAATTTTAAGCAGGCTTCAGAATTTTTACAACATTTGAAATGCAATGCTCGCTTCCTCCTTTGCAGGCAAAGCACATCTATGTTAAATAAAATGACTGCTGTATGGCCTAGGATGTACATGTCAAGGTGCCTTTTGAACTAAAGCCATCATTAAGAATTAAGAGACCATATTATTAATTAGTAAAAGAATCTAGAGAAGAGCAAAGATTATGATGATGATAAAGCAGTAGTAATTCTGCTGCTGAGGTGATGTGGGTTCTCGGCAGGATGGACTGAGTAGTGTCCTGACAGCTCTGTCCTTGTGAGATGTTCCTGTTATACAGAGTAAGGATAACAGGAAGTAGTATAAAATGGGAAATGATAAAAATAAAATAAATTATTATAATTCTCATTTAAATTTAGTTTTCATTATAATCTCCCAGAACAGCAATGCCCATGAGATTATTAGAAGATTTATAAGTGCGTACACAGTAAAAAATAAGAGAGTTTGGCACAGGTAAGTATCTCTTTAGAGGGTTTCGTAGGATACAGTTAGACTCCGTTGTTGGGCTCTAGCGAAGCTCTGACTTCTGTAGCATGGGGGACAGGCTGTCTTTTCCAAATGCTGCAAGAACATGGGCTGCTTAGCTGCTGTGCTGCTTCCTATCACCAATTTTCTCCTGGGGAAACCCTGCCCTAACAGAAACCTTACAACTCGTGTTGTCCTTTGTAGCTCCTGCCTGAGTATTTTTTGTTCATACTTCTTGTGCTTTACCAAAACATGCTGATGTTGTTGTGTTCTGCTGTTACCTTAACTGGAGGTTCTGCCATTACCTTAACTAGAGGTAAGATGTGATGGATCTTCAATTAATGCTCCAATAATGGCATCTTTCTTTCTTTTTTTGTTTCTCTTTTGCCATAGAAGGCTAAAGGTGTGTCCCAAGCACCCCCGGCTCAATAACCTCTCTGAAAGAGCTGCTGAACAGAAGGTTTGTTTCGGGCCCCAAGTGTTTCTTCAGGCATTAATACTGTAGCCCCTGCGGAAGGGATAAGTGGGCAGCCAAAAACCTTACAAAGTTCCAAAGTGCACGGTCCGAGCTGTATTCACCACCACCATCCTTGCTGTTGTTTGGAAAGCATTCAAAACATAAACCGGCCCTATCACTTATACCAAGTCACAGAAACAGGAAAAAAATTTCCTATGTATGAAGCCATATGTGCTGCAAACCCTGGCCATTTTAGAGGGAATAGTTATGCTCCCACTGGCTCTCATGGGGCAGAATTTCACCCAATAATTTTTCGGTGTTGAAAGCTTTCAGGTTTTCATGCTGTGGTTAGGAGTATGGTTTAAAAAGGGTAGAAATACGAAAAGTAATTACTTTTTAGCAAAGGCACGGGCCAGACCCGCAGGGTAGCTCCACTAACTGTAGTGAAACGAAAATGAGGTGTCCCCTAAAAGAAGCTGCTCCGCACTTTTGAGGACCCAGTTCTGACAGAGCACTTCTCTGCCCTTTTAGCCTGTAACAACCCAAACAATTTTGCCAGAGCATCTCTCTCTGTCCGTTTTTTCTGGCTCCCTGTCTTTGCCCTTTCATTAACAAACACTTCATTAGTGGTTCTCAGGCTGGCTTGGTTGCCTCCCCCGGGGATCGGGGAGACTCAAGTCTGCTCTCATGTTCTGTCTCTGGTCTTTGACCAAAGCAGAGTCCCTCAGCCACTTTGAAATCAGGCTACCTCAGGCAGTACAGTATCTCCCTAAAACAGCACACCAATTCCCACGGCCCCTTTTACCAACTACCACAGAAGTTGGTGTGGCTGTTGAAGAACCATGGGAACCACTCAGAGGTTCTGGGGCCATCTCTGGGCAAAACTCAGTGGAGGGTCAAGATGTGAGTGAGGCTGAGAACACACACGCTGTAAAACCGCTTCCTTTTAGTCGTGCGTCATTAGTAACGACCAGGATGCCAAAATTAAAGTAGTCCACTTTCACTACAGGCGAGTTTTTAAAGCTGCCATCATCCATCATCTGCTTCGTAGGGCAAGTGATGAACTGGGGTTTGTTTGCAACAGATTTTGTCCAGAAACATGTGAAAAAGAGAGTATTGTGAGAGGTTGAAATTTTTGTTCTGTTTTGACTAAGCAAAATTAGAACAGTTTTTATACAATGCAGTGTAGTAGCGCAGAAGTTAATGGTCTTTAAATGAGCTATCTTGGGGACCTGAAGCTGCCTTTCCCTGGTACACTGGAGGTTGGTGAGGGCTAAGGTACCACTACTATGTCCTGCTTGCTCTCTGGTGCAACAGAACTTCCTAACTTGCTCCAACAGTAATGTCAGAGCATCGTCTTCCGCAGTAGGAATCAAGTGGGAACGAAGACCTCTTTGTGATCCTCAGCATTCATCCCCACCTCACTGGTGCTTGGACAGGTTACACGAAGCTCTGGTCCACTCACCTGTGTGCTTTTATGTAGCAGTTTTCTAAGCAGGTTTTCCTGACCTGTTACAGGACTCGTGTTTTTATTTGTGTTTCCCATTTCAAGCCACTAACTGCACAGCAACCAAATGGTGAGAATCCTCCCTCTCTAATGCAGGAAGCACTGTATTACACAATTTTCTGTTACAACCAAAATCAACTTTGAGATAAATGGACTGTCCAACAGCAGTCAAAATTATTTTTAAATAAACTTTTTATAGCTTTGTAACGTAGTAACCTACCCATGATCTAACCTGCAGGAAAACCTGGTTTTGGCTTTTGCAGTGTTATTTCCTCTGCGTGTGTTTTTCTTTTTGGAGTTTATTTGGGTTTACTTAATGAGTGGATCTAGAGTCATAGCAGTGCTTTGTTTTTGAAGATTCCCTTCAGCTATTTTTGTCAGGCAAGTAGTATGGTTACCACATTTAACCCCAAATAATACACTCAAGTGCCAGTGGCTTTAGACCTGGCATTATAAATGCTTGCAGTAAATGGAGAGGTTTGCAGCTTTTCAAGCTGTGATCTGTATGACAAGAGAGGCAAAAAAGCAGAGTAGCTGCATTTCGAGAGAGATGTCCAGGACCATTTGTCCACTTAACAAAGAGGCCTTGTCTTTTTAATATTGTGTAAAACATCTGACAAATAAGGAGGCTGCAAGAACCCTTTGTAAGCAAGAAGCTTTCTTTTCCTTATGCACAAAGAAACCACCATGTGGTTGTCCTAGAACGCTTAACCAAATAAAAAAGTGTACTGCTAGATTAACTGGATTCTTGTTTTGTTTATTTTGCAGAAAAGCTGCTGTGTGGTTACTGCTGCTAAGAGATTTGAAAATATCAGCAGCCTTGGTGCTTTACCCCCGTGCTGTGACTGAGACTTCTACTAGATGGACCAAGAGCACTTTAGCTGCAGGACAAGTCCCAGCGTTGCTGAGCTGCTGCTTCTCTATTCAGCATTTGAAAGAAGGAAAGTGTTTCCCCAGGTTGAGGAAGGTGTTTCTTCTGGAGCACCGTGTTCTCCATGTCTGGGAGTGCTACATTAGCTTGAATTCATAACGAACTTTTCTCTTGTCTTACATCCTCATTTACTTATCAAAGGCTCCTTAAGGTTCAAATTATCAGGTTACATTGACTGTCGCAGCCCAGAAGGCAGCCTGTCACTGTTAGATCTGTAGCCAAGGCTGATTTGACACTGGAGTCAAATAATTAAAAAGAAAAAAAATAATTGCAGCCAATTTAAATCTGCCTTATGGAGGAGATTTGAAGTTTGTTTTTCCTGTCACACTAAAATGAGCTAAGGATTAGCTCAACCAGAGTTAAAGCCATGTTAATGTAACACCAGTGGAAGTGAGAAATGAGGCTTTCCTCGCAAGTAGGTGAGTTTGCTGCAGCTGTGATATGATACATTTTACGATTTTTTAGCCTGATGAATTACTGTTCACTTTAAATACACTTGGATTAATTAAACAAGAAAGAAAACAAGGCACTATTCACTGGTACCCATGCATACTCTGTTCTACAATATGCAATTATAATTTGGAGTTATTTTAACAGAGGGTGATTTTATGCCAGCTAATTTGTTTGATGCTAATAGGACTGATTAAGACCCTTGGAACAGAGGAGAGTCAGTTGTCTGCTCATTATAACCTCTGGGTGCAGGCCCAAATGATAAATTCTGTTTTTCTAAAGTTTTGTTTCCTTATCCCAAGCCTTTCTGATTCTTAACTAGATAAAAAACTGGGAGTCAGAACAGCTGAATTCTTTACCTGAGATAGTTTGAGTATCATCGTTAAGTGAATCTGAGAGTTAGTTGCCTAGGCTGTGAGGTTAATATAATGAGACTTACTCCTTGCTGTATATGGAGTTCTGACTGCTTGGTTTCAGAA